TTCTCACTAGTTGTTTATTGATAGGAACTTTATTGCAAAAATATCAAAAACTTGTGAAAAGATACATGAAAATGCGTAGAAAATTTGAATAATGAAATAGTTTCTACACAGGTAAAGTTGGAGTTTTGGGTGTGGTCTCTGCACAAGAAACCGATTGCCAAATATACAGGGAAACTATGAGAGATCGCTTATTGCTCTTGTTTCTGTCTTGTCTTGCGTACAAGATTCATACTCATAGCTGTTCTCGTTAAAGTTTGGCTATTTTTTTACTGGTTTATTCATAGTTCGACAAGGATAACATGAATCTCTGTTTTCTTTTTATCGTCCTTCTCTCTTGTGCCGTCCATAAGCGACATGTTTTCGAATATTAAAGAAACAAAAACATCTTTATTTTCACTAGAAGTGATACTAAGATTAAAAAACTGCAGCGTGATCAAATAACATCTAAATTTTCTTTGCTTACTGGAAAACAACACATTAGAAAAGCCGTTTCGATACATTTGTGTTATCTAAAAAATATCGCTCTATTTGTCTTCTTAGAGATGACGTTTGCCAATGCTAAGGTTGAGCCCTTCTGTTCCGATTCCAGCCAAAACTTGAGCACCCAGTAATGCCGCAGCTGAAATTCAGATATATAATAATAATGATGACATATGTGAGCACATCAAGATGTGATTCTTACTCTGCACAGCTTGTTCAATTGGTTGTAGAATTCCGGCCAAAAGATCGTTCCAAAATCCCCGAAATTCAGCTTCTGTCATTTGTGTCGTTCGCCCATTTGGAGCTGGAATACCATTTTCAGCAATACCGGCAAGTAATTGAGCACCAAGTAGGGAAAATGCTGCAACGAAAATGCAACAGGATTTCTTGAGAAACGATAGTTATTCTTACTCACTGGTAACAAGATGATTCAATGGTTTATATAAAACTGTTCCGTAAAAGTCAGAGATAAGACCGCGTGCATCAGCTTCGAATTGTTGCTGGGCAGTCTGAACATGTGCTAAATCGAATCCAAATCCACATGCACAAATTCCAGCCAAAATAGCTAAGAAAAACATTTTGTGTTGCATTCTAAATTGAAAGAGTATGCTTGAAATAAACGATGTATAATGAGTATCTTGAAAATATCATCTTACCTAAGTCTTGAAAGAGATCGAGAAGTAATAATGGCGTAAAACTATTTCTTTATATATCCCTTTCTATGAGAAAAACCTTAGCGTCTGTTTTTGTTCCCACAGCATTAATGGCACTATAATCGTACCATTTATAATCAGCTGCATTGTGCTTGTCGCCATATTGTATAGTGAGTATATTAGATATTATTCTTAGATGGTCTTATGTTAACTATCTCATGCCTCTCTTTAAACCATGGATTCCTTAGGTGCTGTAGTGCATTAGTATTTTAAGCATTTAGTATACCGACACTGAACTTACTAAAGGTCTAAAGTTTTTGATAACGTTTGAGTATTGTGCAAATAGACGAAGATTATGAGTGAAGATGATGACTTCGGTTAGTTTGAGTCACATAATATTTGTCGCGGATAGGGAGGGGTTATAATTTT